GCTGAAGAAACAAACTAATGAACTGCTTTATGCCACACTTGACCTATGGAATCTACACTGTAGTAGCCTGGCTTGGAAAATGTAGCTTTTCATATCCAGCATGCTTTCTTCTGAGTCAGTGTGATTCTGGTTTGAATCCGACATTGCTGAACTGTGAAATAATGAGAATTAGAAAAGTAAGTATCCTATTCCTGAAAGTAATCCTAAAACACAGGATGCAGAAATGCTTTAATGCATGCCCTCCCCCCAAAATAAGTTTGATTCGTGTAATATGTGAACTTTTTCAAGTAGTTACTATGCTACTGTTCTAAACATAGTTAAGCTGCTAATAAAAGTTAATTACAGTGGAAATGCTGTATTCCCCCCCCATGTAATTGATTAATGTTTCATTATATGTGATTTGTTCTATATGAAAGACTATTACAAGGGGAAAAAGTGTAGTTTACTCTGAAGAGGACACTAAAACTTGGATATTTGCACATGCATTCTGCAATTTCTTTCTAGAGGTAGATGCTGGTTAAATATGATATTTACTTAGATACAAAACTTTATCTCCTCCAGGTCATAGGAGAAGGTAACTGTTTATTTTTTATGTATTAAAAACAGTTGTATGCATAAAGGCTATAGCTAGGTTCAGGATGAAAAGTCGTAAAAAAATCTCATAATGTAGTCTAAAATGTGCTAAAATATAAAGATTATTTTTAAAACTATGTTGTTATTATATCCTATTTCACTAAACAGTAAATTTATCCTAGAAACTCCTCTCTTCATTAAGTATTGATTTAACCATAAATGTTATTGGACTTGATACATAGTAAATTGCAGTGTTACAGTAAGCAACCTCAACTTCTCTGTGCTGTAGGAACACAATTGCTATGGAAAGTGAACTAGATGCAGGAGCATCAGACTCTCCAATATTGGTGACACTGCATTTACAAAAATACAGTGACCATAATTACTTTTCCTGTTACAAAGTCTTTGCTGTTGTTGCATCCAGTTTGTGAAGTACCAGTATAGACATCCTGAGGGTGTTGTGGCTGAAAAACAGTTTGTGTGTGATAACTTTAGAGGAACTCAGAACTTTGGTTTTGTGCATCACCACACTGTTACGCTGCATCCCAGCTCCTCTGTAGTCCTTTGTCTTGTGCCTCTTCAAAACTGTTTCAAAGGCAGATGTGCATTTGTCCCTCTTTAGTGTACTACCCTTGCTACAGGTGAAGTGCATTTGACAGCTCTGGATCTCTCGTCTGGACATAAACATACATAATTTAGTGATCCAGCTTGTACTGCTGCTTCAAGAAGACTTCATGTGTGGTAACTGTTCATGGTGATGTGTTGTGTGCTTGCCTTTAGTCTAGGGAAAGCAGGGAGAGGGAAAGTGGTTGCTAATGCTTTCAGATAGCTAATTGCAGCTCAGTATTGGCAGCTTACTATTTGGCCATTTTGTGTGTGGACAGTGAACTAGTCCTAGTGTTGGGCTCCCAGTTGCCTGCTTGGTCTGTTGTGTCTCAGGATAGATATATGGGACCAATGATTTTTGGTTTGTTGGTTTGGGTTTTAATTTTTGCTACCCTTTCATTTATCAGACAGCACTAGGTGGTAGTGCAATGACTGGTTAATAGTTCTAGTCTTTGGGCAACAGTGAGTGGCTGAACTTGTGAAGAATACTGTTGGTGTTGACTTCTCCCTGCCTTCTTGCTGGTGTGGGCAATATGTTTGTCATTAAGTGGTCGTTAGTCTTGCAAGTATTTGCTTGTTGCAACAGTGTGTGCTGAATGCTATGACTGTGCAATAGTAGCCATGGATAAAGGTGATGCAAGTGGGGTGTGAACAAGATGAGTTAAGTGTTAGCATCACTTTTCAGGGTCCTTCTGCAAAGACTTTGAGTAATAGTCGTAACCAGGGGCATTCCAGGCATTTTATGTGATCAGGAGTGTTTCTATAGGTTAGGTGCCTTATCCTGATGCAAATACTGGCCCAGTTCCCAGAGTACTGTTGACATAGCCAGGCAGGTACAACAGTAAAACTCTGGCAGTAGATAAAGAGTGTGCTCTAAAAGGAAGTAGTATTTTCTTATGGACATGAATTCTTCATTCTTCAAATATCTTACAGATATTGAGTCATACTCCAAGCTGTGCACACAATACAGCTGCAGAGTGAAGTTCCTGTGCTGTGTGCTATGGACATGGCTGCAATGACCTCAGTCTGTGGTCATCCTAGGGATGATCCCCTAAAAGTCAGAACCGCTTTGAATAAAAAAGCATCCAGCAGAGGTCAGTGGTGCACTGCTATGTGTACAAAGAGGTCTGGTTTGTGCCTTAAGGATAAGTGTCAGTGAATACATTCTTCCTTTTCCCACACTTTTGTGGTAATCTAATACCTCAGGAGAATATAAAGATGGTTTACCTTTAGGTTTAGGTATTTAGGAAGATTTAAAATTCATTTGTGGAACAAAACAGCCAAAATTTAAATAAATGGCTAATATGAAGATTGTTTACGTTAACAGAAAGATTGTTTAGGAGGAAAAAAATCAATCCAGCCTTAAATTCCAAGGATGAAGACAGTGGTTTTGCAGGTTAATTGAGAAATGGTGTTCTCAGTGCACAGTATAGTGTGTAATGGCTTATGACAGAGAAGCAGAAATGACACGATGGTTGTCACTGGCAGAGAAGGAAAGATAGGGAATAGCAGACAGGTGCTGCAAACTTATACAAGAGCTTGAGCAAGAAAAATAAAAGCTCACTCTTAGTCTATGGCTCTAGCTTTTTTTAATCCTTCAGTTACCAATGATGTTCTATCATTTTGGAGGACTAGGGAGGATGAGACAAATGTAGTACTGTACAGAGAGCAAAGAAGAACTTTACCCTCTTCTTTAAAGAAGACAATAATTTTGTTGTGGTCTCTTCAAACTTAAACTTTGAGGGTTTTGGGTTTTTTTTTTTGTTTAGGGCTTTTTGAAAGCACTGTATAGTCTGTGAGGGGAAGGATGCTGGATTTGGGCAAGAGCACCTGGGAAACAAACTTCTGATGAATGGATAGTTAAGATCTTTTCAATTACTGGTTCCTTTTTTAGTCTCACAATGTGAAGGAGCTAGAAGTTTGAATAATCTAGCTTAGGTGCACCTGTTTCTTTACAGATGAACTGCTGGCACCTTTAGTCTGCCTAGCAAGCTGTGGTGTATATACCCTTTAAGACTGGAAGTGGAGTTGAAGATTCCTGTTTCTTATTCCTTGCCATGCAGATTACATAGCAGGTGGAAGTCTGTGCTTTTCAGCCATCCATTTGCTGTGTCATTAAGAAACCAGATG